CCCCGTCCCATGTCCGCCCCCGCCCCCCAGCCTGCAGCGGCTGTAACGCGTCTCCTCTCCCCGTGCAGCCCCCGCGCTCTTCTGCGGCCGCGCCGCCCACGTGCCGCTGCTGCTGGTGCTGGACTCCTATGCGAACGCCGCCTGGCTGCAGCAGGTAGGTGACCCCGGCCCGCGGGGCCCCAGCGCGGGGGGCTGGAGGTGCGGCTCGGCTTCTCCTGGCGCGCAGCGCAGCGCAGCGTGGCCCGGGCTGGGTGCGGGGAGGGACCGCGGGGAAGGACCGATGGGCTTTTGTGGGGTCACTCAGAAAGTGAGCTGGGTCTGAGCAGGGGGTCTCGCCCGAACCCCGCCCCCGTTCCTCTCATGCAACTTCCACATCTAAGGTTTGGGACAGCGGTTCCCAAAGTCTGACAAATTGCACACCGCTACTTTAAAAGATATGGCCTTTGCCAGTACCACCAGCAACTTTTTGTCCAATCGAGTCATTATAATAGGTCTGTTAACGGGTACTGCTGATAGGTGGTCCAGTCGCAGATTGGGAACCGCTGGTGTAGGCAGTTCTGATTCAGACATCCCCACCTTCAGTAGCTACCTCTTTTCCTCCAGGATGCCCTTTTTGCATCTAGGTAAATGGGCAGCTGTTGGTGGAAGTGAGTGCCACACTTGAATGACTCGCTGTGGGAAAAAGAACTTCCCTTTTTTAGTTTTAACTGACTACTTGGGCGTTTTGTTTTACAACCTCTAGTTCTTGTATTGTGAGAGTGAACGATAAATTCCTGTGTACTTTCTTTCTTATTTGCCCCCCCAAGTCTCTCTTTTCTAAATTGAATAGGCCTGAATAGTTTTCAAGTTTTCCAAACTAAATAGGCACTAATTTCTCAGGAGTCAAATAATTTGATGCTTTAGCTTTAGAGGATGTTTACAGATGATACAATGTTTGGACGGGTGCTTTGCATTTTGAAAGGAATTGGCATCATTAGAACCTTCTTGGTGTCTTTTAAAATGTCAGGTTGTTTAGAAGCCAGACTTAAATCAAGTCACAAATAACTGATCTAAGTAATGGGGAACGAACAAGTGAGAATTTATGATGTTAAAAAATTTTGATTAAAGCAGCAGTTGGGAACCTATACCCTGGGAGCTGGATCCAGGCCACAGAGCCATTGGATCCAACCCATGGAGCTGGATGGGGCTTTGGAAACAAGGGACTTCTCCTGAGCCGCCAATGGGCTGGCACAGAAGTGTTGGCAGTGGCCAGGTATTAATTCAAGCTTGCCTTGTACCCAAGATGGATCACTGTATCCTGCTGCCCAAAACCTTTGCCAACCACTGGATTAAAGCATGAATTTGTGTCTTTGCTTCATTCTATGACATGTAGTTACTACAATAATAATAATTCCAACTGCTGCTTTAATTTGAGAATCTCTAAGCAATTTGCAAATAGGAAACATTTAAGAAATTAAGAAATTAAGTAATTAAGAAAGATATGGGATTCATCTTCAATCCATTTTAGAGTTGAACAGGGATTTAATAATACTTAGCCAGGCCACATGAAAATTTAGAACAGGAAGGGAATATTGCATCCATCCAAACCACAGAGGGAATTTTCAGAACAATATGGGGAAGAAAGTGATTACTTGAGAGAGAATTTGGCCAGGTCAATAAATCCATTATTCTTATCTCAGTACTTAATGTAACCTTTAGTTTCAACTTTAGTTTTGAATATCTTAGCTTTTATGAGTCCACATTAGATTTTTAGGGAGCCTCCAGACAAGTGTGCACATGTGTTTCCCCAGGGACAAATAGCAGTGGTGCATAGGTGTGCTACTAGTATGTGTCCCTGGGGAACACCTGTGCCTGCGTGCTCTGGCACATGGCAAGTTGCCCCCCGGTCAGGTAGGGGAGGCTGGGACCAGCACACCTAGGCTGTCCTCAGCAGCCTTACCTAGGTCCTGGGGGCCTTCCGGGGCTCCAGCAGTGGTGAACCAAGCACACGGAGCCTGACGGGAAACTGAAGAATGGCTCCAGTAAGCTAGGCTCTGGTTTTGGGTGTCACATGCTGCCACCGTGTGCACTACCCCACTCTTTTTTTGGCATGGGTTTTTAAATTAGCAGCGCAGCAAGTATCTGCATGTGCAGTGCATGTGGTTTGTGGCGCCACTGATGGGTCTGTGGTGCTCCGAATCACATGTGAGCGCTCATCTAGATGCCTCAGTTTTATTTTAAGTGGTGAGTCCTCAGCCAGTATAGAACTCATATCTTTAAAATGCTGTAATTTTACTTTCCCCACTTACTATTTTCATAATATTTTAGAAGTATAATGCACTAATATATTCAGTGCTCTTTGCTATGCCTAATATGACTCAAGCCCAATAGCTGCGACATTTGAGGCTGAGTTTACTGCTGCGGTGTACTATAGTCCTGGATTTTGAAGCAGTCTGCCTACACTTTCCAGTTGTCTGGACAAGCAAATGGATCAGTAGCTCTTCTGGTTTTATGGCACTGAAATGAATGACCTGCATTTTTGGATAACTTTGAGTAAGGGCTGCATCTGAGATGATGGATATATTTCCTTCTGGTTCAGCTGGTCACAAAATAAGTTGCTGTGTTGTTGTCCATCAAGTGTGCCAAGTAAAAGTCTCTTTGTCTCCTCCTTTCAGATTAATAGTGTGGGCACCAATGCAAGTTGGACTGTGCAAACTTCTCTGTAAGAAGTGGAAAACTTTTGGATTTTAAAAAAGTCAAAGATGATAATGCCTTTGACAGAAATAAAGAACTATTTATTTAGATCTACAGCAAATACAGTTTCCTTCTGCAACCACTGGGTGTCAGTTATTGGCACTCACATCAGCCGTTCCCAAACTCTGACAGATTGCGCACCACCAATTTAAAATGATACAACCTTAAGTACCACCAGCAAATTTTTGTCACGTAAAATAATTATAATAAATTTGTTAACGCATACCACTGACAGGTTGTCTGCATACCACTGGTGGTACCTGTACCAGAGATTGGGAATCACTGCATTATATGATAGAATAAAAGATGCCTTTAAATTCAAGTCAGTTGATGGTTGTCATCAGCTTTACTTCTTCAGTTAGTGATTTGAGCCAATGTAATACAAATTAATTGTATGCTAGGAATGGAAAAGGAGCTGATTTAAAACAAACTAGATTTGAAGACTGCCATCAAGTGTGGCCATGTATAAATGACATACTTCAGTACTTATAAGATTATGTTTGTTTGTTTTTTCCTTCCAATTCAAGATTTTTGTTCTATGATGATTAATTTGGAACACATACTTTTTCTGGAAAATTATTTAATAATTCTTCTGCAAAAGATTTAACAAGTTTTCAAGATCAACAAACCAGATAGAAATAACCTGATAACATTTGAATTATGTAAGGGAAAATTAAAAGCCATTATTAAACTAATGTTTATCATATTCTGAATGTTATAAACAGCAATGAGGTTTTTAAGAAGAGGGATTTAAAAATGCAGTTTGTTAAGCAAAGCTAAACATTCATTAGTGACTATCAGTACCATGTTTTTATTATATAAGTCTGAAAGTGATACCCTGTTTACTGTTACTAAGAAATTGTGTCGTGTTCTGTTAGTAACAGGATATAGTTGTAGCTTTATAGGTAAATTAGTTTGGTTTTGGAACTACTCAGCATCCAAGGGGCTAAATCATTGAAATACAACATCTCTAGCACAAATGACACCTGTTATAAGTGTCAGCAGGTGGCGGAGACCACATGACATTCCTGCTGTCTGCCTCCCCACTGCCTACCCCCTTGCTGCTGCTTTCCCCTCTTCAGCAGTGGGGGGGATGAATTTAGGATGACCCTCCAATATTTAGATTCTGTGCATGGAAAATTACAACATTTATTTTAATTTTTTAATTTATTTCAAAAGATTCTTTTAATTATTAGGGGTCATCTTAAATTCAGAGTCATCCTGGGTTTGGGTAAATACGGCAATCCTGCCTTTGACTGGACAAAGTTAGTGTGGTGTTCAAATGCTGACATATGCAATGGGTTATGATTCATTTGACTATCATATATTTCTGAATATTCTGAATAAATATATTCACTTTCAAGATGTGAGTCTGTATATCTGAGACTCAGCATGCATTCACAATAAGCCAAGAACATTTGCCAGTGTTTTTGCTTGAGCACAAAATGAATAAGGAAGAACTCTGCATTTACAGTATTGGGTATCTTATTCACAGAGATATTTAAAAATCAAAGCCTGCATATTATTGCGCAGTCGTCAAAGAAATATACTTCCTTTCACTGCTAGCTTCCTATTGGTTCTCTGTTCCTTGTACTTTCAAAAATTCCATTTTCTTTAGTATGAGTTTAGAAAGTTCATAGATTTAAGTAGGGTTTGGCAATATACAGTCTGTAGGCTACACATGACTCACAGAGCCAGGAGGCTTCAGCAGTGTCCTGATGGCAGGGGGCTTTGCCTGTGGCCACACTGGAAAGGCATAGTGAGGAGAATTACATCTAAGGGGAGGGAGAAGCAGTGGCAGGAAATACAGCTGTAGTGGCTAGTTCTTAACACCAGCCTGCCTTGGACCTGAGCTTAGCAGCATTTCAGAGCCACAGGCCAAAACAACTAACTGCTTGACTTCAGGATTGAGGATCAAATGTTTTAAAATGTTTAGGCGACCAAATTATCAAACTTGTTGGACACCTGAACACCTTATAAAGCTTTGCTTTAGCTCCAAAGTTTATAGGTGAACTAAACAAAACACTGAAAAATATGTTCAGGAGTGCACATCTGCACTTATTTGATTCTTCTCTGTTAACTTTTTATGGCTTCTGTCTTGTCTTATATTAGCTCATTATATCTTATTTAGGTTCTCAGGACAGGTCGTATATGAAACAAAACATCTCCTTCCTAAAGGCAAGAAGAACAGGAGACAAAATTTTAAAGTTTTAAGTAGGAAATCTGTTCCTTAGAGAGAGAACACATAATAAGTAGTTTGACGTGTCTATTGGAAAATAACTACATTTTTACTTTTCAGGTGGGTTGGTCACTTCTTTGTAAATTAATAGAAGTTTGTCCAGCCACTCTGCCAAACATAGTGCCTCACGATGTCGGGAAGGATTGGGAAGTACTTGGTGTTCATCAGTAAGTAGAGAAGTTTTACAAACGGATGCTGTATGTATATTGGTTTCTAGAGTTCCTCTAGATTGAAGTAAGAAGGAAATGTGTTTTCTAGCATATCTTCAAAGAAAATGGTTATTTCTTATATTCCTTTTAGATTATCATTAGAATTTTATCATTGAAATAATGCAGAGTAAAATAAAATTTCACTGGGTTTCCAATGTAATGAACGTGCTGCTAAAAACAGAATGATTGTTTGGAAAACCGACTAAAACATAGAAACTGTGGCAGCATAGAGGAAGGAATACTTGTATAGAATGATTTGTCAGAAAGTAAACCAATAAATAGTGATTTTGTTTGTTTGCAACTCCCATAGTAGGAAATCCTCTTGAATTAACTTGATCTAGTACTCTATTAATACCTTAGATATTGATCAGGGCGTTACGTTTGTGTCAAGCTGTGTTAGTTAAAAGTTGTAGTGTCAGCTGGATTTTCTTCAGTTTCTGTATATTCATTTCATGGGGCATGATTATCACCAGGGATCCAGATCTTCCATTTCCCATGGGGAAAATGGGAAAAAAAATGTGGATTTTTCCCCTTTGACCGAGGAAAAACGCGGATTTTTCAGTTAAACATAGAAACGTAGATTTTCCATTTTTGCAAAGAGCTGTCTGCAGGCTGGCAGAGTTATAGCCTGCAAGGGGCTTGGGCAGCGGGGAAGGGCAGTTAGGCAGGGTGCACCATGTGCGCACTCACACATGCACTTGGCTGCCAGACAGCTCCCGCAGCTAAGTTTGACGGGGGGGAGCAGGGATTGAGGCCCCCATAGGGAGGGAGGGAGGGAGGGAGTTGGGTGGGGCTGAGGCTGCTGCTGCTGCCCAACCCAGGCAGTGCTTGGGGCCTGGGGCCAGAATGTGGGAGCAGGATAAGGCCATGGACAGCTCGTTTGGGGGCTGGTGAGGGGGCTGACTCCTGTTTGCTGTGCACACTCCCAGGGGAAGCATGGGGGGCGCATGCCTCCAGATATGTTCCTAGTGGGAGGGCAGGTCTGCTTGCTGCAGGCTTGGGTCTGCTGTCCTGCCCTGCTGCCTCCCTGTTCCAGGGCCACCATGGCTCAACGGGTGGGACCCGGTGCAGCAGGCCAGTGCAGGGCCAGGCAGGGAAGCTTCTTGCTGCTATGAGCCCCACTGCCATGGTGAGATGCCCTCTGCCTGTCCAGCAGCAGTGGGGGTGGCAGCCTGGAGTAGTGGCCCTCGCTGCTGCAAGGTGGTTAGAGGGCACCTTGCTAGGGCAGTGCGGAGCTTCTAGAAGTGGCCACGAGCTTCCCTGCCTGGCCCTGCTCTGCCCTGCTGCACGGGGTCCTGCTCACTGGGATGCAGAGGCCCCGGGTGGAGAGCAGAAGGGCAGGAAGCCTGAAGCGCGCAGCCTGCCCCCACCCCACCATGGCCTCTGCTTCAGCCATGCCAACCATGGGGCAGGGGGAGTCGGGCTCTGCTCCGCCACAGTAGCCACCACCTGCTACAAGTGGCAGCTGGGACTTGGGCACTGCTGTGGGGGCCAGGGGGCTGTGGGCCTGAGTCCCTAGTCCTATAGCCCTGACAGCTGGAGGCCCCCTCTGGTGGGAGCTGGTGGTGCAGCTAGCCTGTGGGTATGGAGTGAGGGGCATGAGCAGGGTTGGGGGGGACTGGGTGAGGAGTGAGGTGCACTGGCAGAGCCAGGTGGCTGTGGCTTGGAAGTTAGGGCCTTGGGAAGCTCACCTGCATCCTGGTGAGCGAAAGGGGTGGGGGGGCACGACCCTGGTTTTTCCATGATAAAAACCCCCCAAATCAAATACCAGAATTTATAGGTACTTTAAAATGTATTATAGTGGTTGAGGCACTGATAGGCTTCCAAATTTTGGGGGGGGGGGGGGTAGACTTGGCAGGGTTTACTCAGAATTTGTGATTTTATTTTTTTTAAATGGAGAAAACCAGGATCCCTGATTGTCTCATGCCTGAATGTTTTAAAAGCATGGACAGGCACTGTGCCCTTGTTAGGCAGGATGCACCAAAGGTGGATGAAGGCATATCCAAACCATTCAGACAATCAGGGTGCATGGGTAGGCAAATGCCTTCAAAGGAAGGTAGGGTCATGGTGATGGCCACACCTTCAAATTAATTAATTATTATTATTATTTTTTATCATTAACTTTTTCCTTAGGTTCATATTCCAGAAACTGAATTTCATTCAGGGACTGATCTAATTTAGGGACAGGAACAGCTGAGTAATGCCATTCTTAGCACTTAAAGCATAAGAACTGTAGTTGCGTAACATCTACACACTGCAGACTTAGCTGCAGGAGCTGCTCTTCAGGCTGTCTGGCAGCCATGTGCATGAGTGAGTGCGCACGTGGTGCCCCTTGCCTAACTGCCCTTCTCCCACTTCCCCCAGTCCCTTACAGGCTGTAACTCTGCCAGCCTGCAGACAGCTCTTCACAAAAGTGGAAAATCCACATGTTTCTGTTCAGTAGATCAGTTATTTGATGTATTTGCCAAAGATATAACATCCATATATGTTCAAATGGGGAGAGGAGAAAGCTATATGGAGTTCTGCAAATGAGGACTTGGACGGTGGAGGTCCAGCATCTTGTTGCCGCCTTCTGGGAGAAGTTAAATGTCAGCTATCTCAGTATACTTCCATTCACTCTTGCCAGCATGACAGGATTTCAGGCATTAGATGCAGCTGCATCATACTGTAGTATGGGTTTGGAGGTATGTTCATATCTGGCTAAGAAAAGTAAGTTCCCTAATATGTTTACGTACACAGTTCTGGTTGAATCTGGATCTGTTGGTGGTCAGCTATCGTGTGACTACTCTTTGTAGTGTTCTCCATTATGCTCAGAAGGATACAAGATCATTTGTGCGTGGATTAGCTCAGATTTCTTCAGCAGTCTGAAGGCTCCTTGTTGAGTGAAGGGCCATATTCTAGGAAGAGAGGCACGGTAGTGATAGTAGGTACTGCCATCCCTTAATGCATTCTAGAAAGACTGTCAACATTTGTGGTGAAATATTTACACAAGCCTCCCCAGAGGCCACACTTGTTGCCAATAGAAACAAAGCTCTAGTCTAAACTCAGTTTCAGCATCCGAGTTTGAGAAATGTGGTCCACTGCTGATGTCATTCAACATAATTTTTTCCATGTACAGATAGTTTGGCAAAGTGTGCAATCCTGTCTGAAAGCATGACAGTTCTGCTTGTTGAAGAAACTAGTAGATGTTCTTTGTACGGCAGGTATTCTGCTGGTGGCAAAAATAGAGCAATTAGATTATCTAGAATGCCTTCTGAGCATCAGTTGCAATGTGTTAATACTGCATCAACTGCATGATGCTTGCAGATGGACAGAATACAGTGTAGTAGAGATGAAATATACACTGTAGTGAAATATATCATCTATATACAAAATGGAATACTTACAGAGAATGATATGTCAGAAAGTGATCCAATAAATAGTGATTTTGTGGTGACATTACGTAAGTGTATTGTTGGAGAAGTGTGTGTATTGTTGGAGAAACAAAATTTTAAGTTTAGACGTTGCATTTGGTTTATTGTTTCACAACATGCCCTGGCTCAGTCAAGTTACAGTAACTGCTGCAAACATCAGTGCAGCTAATATTACTGTTCCTTTTCTGATACAACTTTGAGTACTTAAAATAACCACTTACAAAGAGAAGGAAATTCTCTTAGGATGTCCAACCTCTTTCTAAATAGAGAAATTTCTTCAGACTTTTTGTAATCTGTGACATCAGGCCTTCAGAAAGTAGATGAGAGTAAGTGTTTCACTTCCTTGCTCTTAATTACTCTCAAGATTAGAGGGCATGTGAAAGGAATTTTCTCTTTGTACTTTTTAAGCATGGCTCAGCCTTTTGATCATAATAAGCATGTTCTGTTGTATATGTATTTTGTGTTACTCTACTGAACTTGTCATGTCTTCAGACTGTAGGCACTTCAGGTCTGGAACTTGTTTGGCACAGGTGACCTATTGTAAAGTGTCCTGCATACGAGACACATCTATACTTGTAACTAATGTACCTGAATTTTCTGTGCGGAAAATTCAGGCGTATTAAACTGCGGCCCCACATGCATCTGAACCCATGCCCATCAGAAGCAAATTTGCTCCTGACAGGAGCACTTTGGTCCAGAGGTGCTCCTGCCCTGCTCTGCCTACCCTGTAGCAGCCAGGGAGAGCTCCAGTCTCCCCTGACTGTCAGCCTCAGGCTGGCAGGAGGCATGAGGGTTGGTCCTGATCTTGATGGAGTAGGGGAGAGCTGTCTTAGCTGCCAGGTATCTGCCTCCCAGCCACTTGGAGATCGGGACCCATCCCGAACTCGACATAGCTGGGAGAGCTGTCCTTATTGTTGGGCAGCTTCCTCCTAGCCACATGGAGATAATCTCAATTTCCATCCCACTGAGCTCTCCCTGCCCCCTGTGGCTCCTTGCTGCTTAGGCTGACCAGGAGCAATTTTCTTCCAGTCAGTGTCTACACAGTTTAATGTGCCAATTTCTAGTACCTGTATCTACAGCTACTAGAAAATGGCACATTAGATTAATCTACTGTGCAGTAATTGGAAGCAGCAGAGCAGCTTGCAAGTGGCTGCACTCCCAGTCGGACATCATTACCTGATTGGGAAGATCTAGTGTCGTTGTCCAGCCAGTCCTAATCTCCATTCCTCATAGTTCTTCAGACCCACTCTTCACCCGTAGGTTTTCTGTCTGACTGAGTTTGAATTAGACAGTAGGGCTGTGTGAAATTTCACCACGAGTTTTGATTCAACACTGTTTTGACTCATTTCAAGGTTGAAACAGCAAAATAGAAATGAAACAGATATGGTCGAAGCAGCCTCGAAACAAAATGAGGCAAGTCAAAATGTTTCACTGCTGTTTCGACATTTCACCCATAGGCTATAATGGGGAAGGTTGAAACAGCCTTTAACTTTGTCATTTCTGGCCTGATTTGGATGAATGTTACAGGAATGGTAGCCCCTGCTGAGGGCATGAACCCTGCCAAGTTTCAAGGAGATAGGTGCAAGGGTTTGGGGGAAACTGTACCTGAAGCTTCAGACAAGCAAAACTTGTGACATAGGTGACACTGTGTGTGTTAAGGCACAGCAGGGTGCTAGCCCCTACTGATGCCATGAAGCCTGCCTGCTGTCAAGGAGATAGGTGCAGGGGTTCTGGGGCCCTGCACCTCTGGCTCCTGACAGGCAAAACTCGTGTCATGGGTGCTGGTGCAGCTGTGTCTGTCTTGGGGCACAGGGGGGCGGGGGGAGGAACTACTGCAGGGCTGGCTGCTAGGCCCTGCTGCGGCTACAAAGCCTGCCAGCTGTCAAGGAGGTAGGCGCAGGGGGGTTCTGGGGCCCTGCACCCCTAACTGCTGACGGGCAAAACTCATGACATGAGTGCCTGTGCAACTACTGCCTAGCAGGACTGAAGATTCCCCATCACTTGCCACCACAGACCCGGGGGTAATAATTGACCCCAGTATGAACATGAGCCGGCAGTGCAATGCTGGAGCCAGCAGGTCCAATAATACCCTGGCCCCAGACCCCCTTCCCCCCCGCACCTATCTCCTTGACAGCTGGCAGGTTTTGTGGCCACAGCAGGGCCTAGCAGGCCTGCAGTGGTTTCCCCCCACTCTCTGCCCCAAGACAGATTCAGTCAGTTATACAAGCACGTCATGAGTTTTGCCTCTCAACCCCTGCACCTATCTCTTTGACAGCTGGCAGGCTTCGTGGCCTCTGCAGGGGCTAGCAAGCCTGCAGTTTTGACCTCGCTGTGGCTTAACACATGCAAGTGACACAAGTTTTGCTTTCAAGATTTTGGGGTGCAGGTTCTCTGAAACCCCTGCATATGTCTCCTTGAAACTTGGCAGGCTTCATGCCCTTCAAAGGGACTACCATTCCTGCAAGTTTCATCCAGATCAGGCCAGAAATGACAAAGTTATAGGCTGTTTCGACCTTCCCCATTATGTCCTATGGGCAAAACGTCGAAACAGCGAAACTGTTTTGACCGAAGGGAACGGACCAGCTGTTTCAGTTCGAAATAGAATTTGAAACAGAACACTGCCGTTTCTCACAGCCCTATTAGACAGCTTTCTCCATGCTTCCTGGATGCATCATTGGGAACACAGTGGAGACAGGATCACTACTTACAGTAGAAATGCTTGGCTTAACAAAAGTCAGGAGAAGATGTTAAAAATGTAGAAGGATTGTGCTCAGTAAAAAAGAAACACATAGTCCATTCATCATTTGGAGTTTTGAAAGGCTCAAGTATGCCCAGTGGGTGTGGAAGCCTCAGCTATTTTAGCTGTTAAGCTCCATCACGTCTGTACTTAGCGTGAGCTAACTGTGATTTTTCACACTTGGACAAATTAGGGTGGATTTTCATACCAAAAATCACGTCTTCACACCAGAATTTCCTTAACACCGAAGAGCAGGGTATTCTTCCCCAATCTCATTCTTGAAACAGCTGGATTATTTTGACTGAAATTTTCCAAGATAATTCTGCCTGAGACCAATTCCAGTCTTAGAAAATTTCTGTCTGAATTAATGTGTGAGAAAAATATAAGTAATTCAAAGCAAGGTCTTATAATTGAAAGTATTATGCATCCTTAATAGCAGGGAATGCTACTAACCCCTTTTGAAATTTTAGTGCTTTCACATACATGTCACTCATAAAATTAAGACATCTAGACATTTAACGCCATAGATTACACTATTACACATTACTGTGAGAGATACAGAGCTTTGTAAATTGTGACTTAAATTCCCCAAGCCAAGGATGTAAAGTCCATTTGGCTTCTCTGACCTAAATCCATACCACAAGGCTTCTTGTGGGTTAGATCTGTGCTACAGGGCAGGCAGTGTCAAGCAACTGCGAGGCTAATGCAGCCATTGCTTACCCCACTGCTGCTGATACGCACCTCTGTCCCGTGTCAGGCTCCCTCGTCAAATTCCCAGTCCTTCCAGGAGCCTGGCAGGCTGGATGATACGGCTCTACAGGCCAGATGTAGACCCCACCCGCCATATATTTGACACTCTTGTCCTAAGCTTATGATGGGTGAGTAGATTTGTTTTGCTTAATGCTTACCCATGGCTGATGGACACAGGCGGTACTACTATTCAGTTGGAGCTTTTTAGCTCTAAAAGTATGTTTGAGAGAGAGGGACAGAGAGCCAAGAAACAGGATCTCCACCAAGTAGCCTTTTGGGACCAGCAGTCTTCTAAAAGGAAATGCCTCTACTGAGCCACACAGGGAATCCTACTGTCATGAGGGACAAGGATGTCCAATGAATTATGCAGAGTCCTTGGGACTTGAGGAAGTTATCCTGTCTTCTGAGACTATGAATCTCATATGTTTTGGGGGTGGTACATGCGCAGTCCATTTAGCAAGAGGACCCAAGAGGCTCAAGGGTGCCTGTTGGGAGGTAACTGTCAGATATTTTACGAGTTAAATTCTAACGAGTCTGTAGTGGGCAGGGGCTCCAGGGGTAGTGACGCACTCTTCTCTTATGGGTGGGGCAGTTGTGAAGGAACTTGAAGTGGGAATGAGCTGGGGGGTACTTAGTTCCTCTGCAGGAAAACCCAGCAACATGTGGTTATTAAATCTTCCTTATCACAGTACCTTATGTGTATGACATTAGTCATGCTGTGGAATCCCTTTTTTGTTTTTTTTATTGTCTTACTACAGGTCCAGATACAGCTCTCATGCATGCACATCTCTGATGGCATCAATGGGAATTGTGCACGTGTAATGACAATAGTCGTTCCTCTGCAATTAACAATTTATAAGTAGCTTTGCTCTTTCTTTTGTATGTCCTTGTATGTCATTATACTTAAAAGTACATAAGAAAAATATTTTTAAATGGTGATAATTATATACTTAAAAAGGACATCAAATGATAGAAACGGTGTGTTTCTACTTAATTCCTTTGCATAGGAACTAAAAAGGGCTTTAAAGTTTTCATTAGTTTTTTTTTTAAATAATTCTATTTCCTCAAGCAATTTCATGATGAATCCCAGTATTTGGTATACTTTACACTAACATTTCATTAGGCTTAACATTTTTTTTTTAATTTTAGACAGATTCTCAAAATGCTCACAATCCACAAAAGAAATGAGAACCTCTCAACAACAGGACTGAAAGTCTTAAATTTACTCCTTACTTCAGGTATTAGGCATTTTACTTTTATAAATGGTATAATGTATTTCTGTGCAGAATATATAAAAATGGGTTATTAAAAACAAGCCCGATTCCCTTCTTCCTTGGACCTTGTATAGTTAATTTACAGCTGTGCAATAGAGATGTGAAATGCTACAGAAATGCAAAAGGACTTATTCTGCATTTGCTTGCACAAGAATCATAATACCCTGGGCTGGAAGGCATTGGAGAATATAGCCACCTACCCCACCTTGGTTTAAAGCTGTCAACATTAGTAGAGACAAATGCTTGCTGCTAAGTAATTATGCAAGAAGCTATTTTTTCTTACTGACTAAAAGTGCAAGCTACTGTAAAAAGAGAACTTGATTAACTCTTAAACGATAAATGTTATACTGGTATTTCTGAAAAGACCAGATTGTCTCTGACCTGGCAATTCTTATTCTGGTTTACAAGGACCTGATACTGCCAGACAGTAAGAACTTCTTATGAGATATTGAGCTTCTTGACCTGAAATTAATGGGAGTCTGTGAAGTTCATATTCTTTCCCCCTTACTCACACTGAGTGATATCTTACTGTAAAAACAGCAGTGGGTTTAATCGAAAGCTGAGTGAAACCAGTGGACGTCTTTCCATTGACTGAAGTAGGTTTTGGATATGGGCTTATCTTCAGACCAAGGCACTATGTATATAATAAGATGGCTGAATATGACCATTAAATGAATGAATCCAACAAGCCATTTTCCCTGTCTCATATCACAAGGCTCCTGAGCTATTAAGCTAGTTATTCCATTGCAGGTTATTCCTTAGAGATGCTCTTCTTACCAGGGGTATAGTAGATATTATTGATTAACCAAGTTTTATCCTTCTTACAGTTTTTTGATTGTCTCTTCAGTAAATATAGATTTCATAGGCATTAGGGCTGGAAGGGACCTCATGAGATCATTGGGTGACTTCCCACCAAAGGGCAGGAAGTCAGCTGGGGTCAGATCACTCCAGCAGAGTAAGCATTCAGCAGCAAGATAAGCATCTCTTGGATCTTCCTGGATTCTTCTTTGTAATGTGTCCAACACCAATTGGATTTACTGATAAATGGGAATAAATATATTTGAAAGGGTATGTTCTATATTTGGGTGTTTTGCCTAAGGATTGGCTTGGTGAAAGGAAGTGACTGGGAAATCCAAATGCACTCACTCTACCAGTTTACAAATTTACATCAGAGTGAAATACATAGTTACTTTTAACAGTATCAAAGAATATGTAATTTTGACAGTTAAGTACAGTGTTTCAGATAGAAGAGATCATTTGGAACAGACTGCCACCTGAGGCAGTTCAAGCGCCCACTTTGAACGCCTTCAAAACACATTTGGATGCTTATCTTGCTGGGATCCTATGACCCTGCTGACTTCCTGCCCCAGGGGCAGGGGGCTGGACTTGATCCTCCGGCGTCCCTTCCAGCCCAAATGCCTATGAAATCTGATAGAAGAGATCAGCTGATTTGTGTAGTGGTCAATCCTTTCTTGCCTTCTTTTCTGTTGTTTAGATGCAATTACATTTTTGCTCTTGGAGGAAGAGACAGATGTATTTTTGTTAGTATTGGATGCTATGAACATCTTTCCTAAAAATGAAGAAATCCAGCAATATGGTTGTAAAGCTTTGCACAGACTTTTTGAGAAAGGTATTTCTCTTTTGTACTTTAGTAGGGTGGAATGATTTATAAACTGGGAATTGACTAAAGAAAAATAACTAGCAGCAAATAATGCATGTTGTGAGTTCTTCTGGGTTTTGTTTTAT